GAGAGGAGAGGAGAGGAGAGGAGAGGAGAGAAGGAAGGAAGGAAGGAAGGAAAAGAAAAGAATCCTCCCCCTAGCATATTTCTAGATGTTTTAAAAAAGCTGTACTATTGTGAAAATTATTCAGGGAGATAATATAAAACAAGTCAACTTACACATACAACATGTTTGTATCCAAGTCAATGCAAACAACATCTTGTGGTGGGTCATGAAGATCAAAATACCTTGAGTCAACTCCAACTATGAATGGAAAGGGTGCGCTAAGCACTGCAGCCAGTGACAGAGGACAAAGGGGAATGTATGGGCATTCCCACTGAAATGGAAAGATCATCTGGGGAAAAAGTTTTAAAAAATTAACCAAATTTGCAATGATAATCAACTAATACTACTGAAAAAGGACTACTGAAAAGCAGAAGTCTCTTTTTAACTTTAAACTTCATTCTAAAAAATACAACTATGAAATACTTAATATGATAAGCCAATGAAATTAAAAAATTCAAGCATGTCAATGATCACAAGCACACAATAAAAATGCCAACAGCTCTTTCCACGTTAATTCTTCTCAAACCTATATAAAATCCACATTCCCTTTCTATGGAAAGAGTCAAAGAAGAGAGATAAAACTGCCACCAAAATCATAAACTTATGCTTTTTAAATTTATTCATTTTGAGATTGTTAATATTAAACTCTGACCAAAATTAAACTAAGAGCAACAATAATTGAAAAACAAAAGCAATAAAAAAAATTAATGTGGGCTAGGGGTATGCACCATGATATGTGCTTAATGTACTTGAAATCTAAGTTTAATCCTACGCACCACATCAAAAATAATTTTAAAAATAAAGTTAATGATTCTCTGGGGAATGACAACAATCACTTGAAGATTTCAAGCAAAATTTTTTAACTGTTGAAGTAAATATTTAATATAATCAAAAAAATTTACCTCAATTTCAGTCAAGCTTGGCCTCTGAAAAATAGTACAAAACATACCTCAAGAAGTTTTACCAGCCAGGCACTGGTGGCTCACACCTGTAATCCTAGCTACTCAGGGGGCTGAGATCAAAGCCAGTCTGGGGAGGAAAGTCTGAGAGACTCTTATCTCCAATAAACCACTAGAAAACCAGAAGTGGTGCTGTGGTTCAAGTGGTAGAGCTTGAGCTGAAGAGCTCAGGAACAGCACCCAGGCCCAGAGTTCAAGTCCCACAACCAAAAAAAAACAAGAAGTTTTACCAATTTTCTATAACAAAGCCCTTTGTGCTTTAGAAAGGGTTTCATAAGCTGGTGCCAGTGGTTCAAGCCTATAACCCTAGTTACTCAGAGGAGGCTGAGATTTAAGGACCATGGTTTAAAAGCCCAAAAAAACTCCAAAACAAGCTCCAAAAAAGCTCCAAAAACCTGGAAGTAGAGCTGTGGTTGAAGTGGTACAGGGCTAGCCTTGAACACAAAAGCTCAAGGGACAGTGCCTAGGACTTGAATTCAAGCCCAGGATTAGTACAAAAGGAAAAGGAGAGGGGTTTACATAAAGATTTTTTTTAATAACCAGCTAATATTGAAATTTTAATAATTGATTTTTTTTCCTACTACAAAATTCTTGCTGTCTTTCAAGATTTTGTTCAGTTCTTCTCACCTTTCTCAATCATCACTCATCACAAAGAAAAGCCTCTAGCATTTATAGCCAATTACACACCATTATTCAGGATTGAGATTGTTTTTTGTATTCAATTATTGACTTAACAAATACATTAACACTTATCTTAATAAGCTGTGTTCTTATAACAGTGAATAAAACAAAGATTCCTGTCCTCTTCACAGTCTAGTTTTTTACAAACAATTTAGGCCTTGTAGTCCCTGTTACAATTCTGTTGTTGTGCATAAATACAATAATTGGTAATATTGTAATAGGTAATATTCAAATAGCGGTCTATGTCCAATATAATTTCATTATTAGCAAAAATCCTAGAAGGCAGGTTTTGACCATAGTTTGCTGATACTTGGTCTGACAGGAAGACATAAAAAATAAACAAAAATAATGATACATGTTTGAGATAAATACTATGTTTGAAAATGATAGTGCTATGGGAAAAAGGAAAATTAAAGTTAAATAAAGATGGGTAAAGTTTAGAGTGAGAGTAAAAGCAGGTGTATTAGACAAACAGGATAGGGCTCAAAACAAAGTGATAACTAAGCTCAAATCTGAAGGTAAGGAATTTAGCCAAAGAGAGGATATCTGCCAGATGAATGCTTCAAATAGTAGAACCAACTAGAGCAAAGGCCTTAAGGCATAAGGACTGCCCCAAAAATAGCAAAAAGGCAGTGTGACAGGAGAGTGAACAAGGAGGAGGAGTCCTAGAAAAAGAGATCAAATTGCTAAGGAAGAGAAACACTCCCATGAGATTCTATAAGAACTTAAGATTGCCTTGAGCGAACACTGTTATTTATTCAACCAAAGATAAATTACATCTGCAACTAAGAAGCTCTTAGAAATATGACATCCTTCTCTATACTTTTCGACTTTTACAATGCCTTCATAAACAGGGAGATTTAAAAAAAAAAAAAAAAAAAAGCAGGTAAGGGCCAGGCACCGATGTCTCATACCTATAATCCTAGAAGGCTGAGATCCATGATATTCTTATCTCCAATTAATCATCAAAAAAGCCAGAACTAGAACTATGGCTCAAGTAATAGAGCACTAGCCTTGAACAAAAGAAGCTCAGGGACAGCACCCAGGCCCTTAGTTCAAGTCCCAGGACTGGCACAAAAAAAAAAAAATGCACATCAATCTTTGCTATGAGTGCCCATTAACTTTTTTTTTTTTTTGGGTCGGTCATGGGGCCTGAACTCTGGGCCTGAGCACTGTCCCTCAGCTCTTCAGCTCAAGGCTAGCGCCCTACCACTTGAGCCAAAGCGCTACTTCCAGCTTTTTCTGCTTATGTGGTGCTGAGGAATTGAACCCAAAGCCTCGTGCATGCAAGGCAAGCATTCTACCACTGAGCCACCTTCCCAGCACCCCCATTAACTTTTTTCATATTTTAATTCTTTTCCTTCTGAAACTATTACTTTGTCATCATTCCTCTTCAAATGACAACCTGCCTAAACACCAAATCCTGATTTACTAATGGTTTTGCCTAAAATTCAGACAGGACTCCAATATTAGCTACAAAAACCTGTAAAATCTTGCATTTATTATAATTTTACCAATTCTTCTTTGCATTTTTCTCACTTGATCTTGCATTGTATTGTGGAAATCAGTCAAAAACTTGGGCCACAAAGATTCTAGCAAAAGGACATAAATAACCACTAATATTTTAGGAAGAAGTATTTGAGTGGGAACTTTCTGAACCTGATCAGTTCATTAATATCTCATTATAACAACTTTTGCTTTCATATGCAAGGATGGAAACCTGGAAAAGTAATACCTTTTGTTTGTTGGTCTATTTGACTGTTAAAGATATTTTCACTATATTGACCAGACTAGCCCTGAACTCACTACAAAACCTAAGATGACTTCAAACTTGCCATCCAGTGTGCTAGGTGTCATCAACATTCCCAGTTAGAAAATAATACTTGGGGCTGGGAAGGTGGCTTAGTGGTAGAGCGCTTGCCTTGCATGCCTAAGGCCCTGGGTTCGATTCCTCAGCACTACATAAGCAAAAAGTAAAAAGCTGGAAGTGCACTTTGGCTCAAGTGGTAGAGCGCTAGCCTTGAGCTGAAGAGCTGAGGGACAGCGCCCAGGCCCAGAGTTTAGGCCCCATGACTGGACCAAAAAAAAAAAAGAAAAGAAAAGAAAAGAAAAGAATACTTAATGAGCATGCTCATAAGCCACATTATGCCACTATCACTTTTAGTTTTAGCAATATTTCTCTTGGAGACATACCAATACTTACTGAGTATACAAGTATTTGTTTTGTTGTTTTTTTTTATGGGGGTTGGAAACTCCTCTCATCAACTCTTTTGCTTTTTTTTTTATTTTTTACTGTGCTTTATTGTTATTTTAAAGTTGATGTACAGAGGGATTACAATTACATGAGTCAGATAATGAGTATCTTCTACTCCAACTACTTGGGTTTTTTTTTTTTCTTTTCTTCTCTTTTTAAACAAATACTGAGTGCCTACTCCATGCTAGGCAGCTAGAGTAAGTTCTGGGAATAAATAAGAAGGTCCTTACTTTCATGATACTAATATTCTTAAAATGGGGGAAAGAGACCAGGCATCATGGTTATGCTTGAGATAATAATAGTCAAGGCCAGGTTAGGGCCAGGCCACAGTGGGCTATATATTGAGGACTGTCTAAAAAACAAACCAGCCAGGCACCAGTGGCTTCAGATCTCAGAAGACTGAGATATGAAGATAATAGTTCAAAGCTAGCCCAGATAGGAAAGTCTGTGAGACTCTTATGTCCAATTAAATCACAGAAATAGGCAGAAGTGGTGCTGTGGCTTAAGTGGTAGAGTGCTAGCCTTGAGCAAAAGTAGTTCAGGGACAGTACCCAGGCCCACAGTTCAAGCCTCAGGCCTCGGGGGGGGGGGGGGGGTAGAGTTCCAATGAGCAGAAATCATGTAATTCAAATGCTGATGTAAGCTGAAATTAGTCAGCACTTCTCCATTAATATGACCAGCTTCATTTATAAGATTTTGTCTTGTTTTGGAGACATCTCAATTTGTAATGCAGGTTTATATCAATCCTCCTGCCTCAACCTCCCAATAGTGAGATTTCAGTCATGCAACATGATATTTGGTTTACAAGTTTTATATCTACTTTGGGGACAACTCTTGTAATATAAAAAAACTAGAAATTAATCCTTTTTCTCAAATGGAAATCACCTTTTTTTTTTTCATCCTTCCTATTTTTCTTTGCAACTCGATTATAGTTAAGTTGAACTTTTACTGGGACAGTAATTTCCAAAGCTGCTTTTCTTGAAGATTTGTCTTAATAATACAAATTCTGTCAGTTAATTTTGTCCTAAAAGGAAAATTCTATACTTACAGCAGCAACAGCCTCAGCTACCCCAGTCAAGACAGCTGGCCTAAGAGAATGCAGCAGAATCTTATTCTCCAGTAAAACCAAGAGCAGCAGTGTTGCACAGTTCTCAGGACCCAGGTTCATCAGCAAAGTGCTAAAGTTGGCTCCACTAGATAAAAGAAAAGGAGGTTATGAACTACTTTGGAAAATTTATGAAACTATTTCCTAAACATGCAATGTACATATGTGCAAACAGAATGAGGTAACGAGACGGTGAGAGGGTTGAGAGATGGGGAGAAGGGTAATGATAATCAAGATGCACCACATTCATAAACAGACATGATCAATTGAAACTTCTTAAAAACATTATGCCAGGCACTGCTGGCTCAAGCCTATAATCCTAGCTACTTAGGAAGTTCAGATCTGAGGATCAAATTCAAAGCCAGCCTGAGCAAGAAAGGTGGTAAGATTTATCTCTAATTAACCACCTAAAAGCTGGAAGTGGAGTTGTGGCTCTAAGTGGTATAGCACTACCCTTGAGCAAAAAAAGCTTAGGGACAGCACCCAGAGTTAAACCCCATAACCAAAATAAATAAATAAAACCACTGTATTAAAAATTATTTCCGGGCTGGGAAGGTAGCGTGCTTGCCTCACATACATGAGGCCCTGGGTTTGATTCCTCAGCACCACATAAACAGAAAAAGCCAGAAGTGGTGCTGTGGCTCAAGTGGTAGAGCCCTCATCTTGTGCTGAAGAGTTGAGGCACAGCACCCAGGTCCAGAGTTCAAGCCCCATGACCAACCAAAAATAAATAAATAAATAAAGATAAAGAACTGAGGAAAGTCAAGTGCTGGTGGTTAACACCTGTAATCCTAGCTACTCAGGAGGCTGAGATCTAAGGATCATGGTTCAAAGCCACCCTGATCAGGAAAAACTATAAGACTCTTATCTCCAAAAAACTGGAAGTGGGGGGGAGGGGGGAGGCTGGGAAGGGATGTGAAGGGTAAACCAAAGGAGGAGGCTGCAATGCTTGGTAAGAAATGTACGCATTATCCTGCCCATGTAATTGTAACCCCTCTGTACAGTATGTTCACAAATAAAAAATAAATAAATAAATTTAAAAACAAAAACAAAAACTGGAAGTGGAGTATGGCTCAAGTGGCAGAATGCCAGTCTTGAGAGTAAAAGATAAGGGACACAAGCCAAGCACCAGTGGCTCACACCTGTAATCCTAGCTACTCAGGAGGCTGAGATCTGAGGATCACGGTTCAAAGCCAGCCCAGGCAGGAAAGT